TATGAAGAGCAGTTGAAGGAGCTGGGACTGTTTAGTTTGAGGAGGAGGAGGCTGAGGGGAGACCTCATCACTCTCTACAACTATTTGAAAGGACACGGTAGAAAGGTTGGTGCTGGTCTCTTCTCACAGGTAATTAATGACAGAACCAGAGGGAATAGCTTCAAGCTCCAACAGGGTAGATTTAGACTGAACATTAGGAAAGAATTTTTCACAGAAAGAGTGGTCGGGCATTGAAATAGGCTGCCCAGGGAGGTGGTTGAGTCACCATCCCTGGATGTGTTTAAGAGCCGTTTAGATGTGGTGTTGGGGGATATGGTGTAAGGGAGAACTTTGTAGAGTAGGGTAGATGGTTGGACTCGATGATCCCAAGGGTCTCTTCCAACCTAGACAATTCTATGATTCTATGAAAGCTGATCTATAAACTTCAGTCAAGAGACTCTACAGGAGAAGCAATAAACCCAGAATGAATATTCTCAACTAAACATTTCTGGCAGTAAGAAAGTGGTATTAATGACTAATAGCCACATCCAAGGTGGTATCAGCAACATAAGGAAAATACACAACAAAACAGTTCGCAAGATACTACACAGTGCTATTTAAGTAGGTATGTTCAGATTCTTCACAAAGGACTCCCATCCCTCTGGCAATGCTGTGCTCTCGGGAGCATTGCCATGAAAGACTAGTCCAACCTTCTGATGTCTCCCAGTGCTATTGGGTATTGGAGGCAGAAGGTCAACGTGCCATAAACATTTGTAATGCATTTAGAAATAAACAGCAACCATTTATGCCTACAAATATATCTGTTGGTGCAGCTGCTTCTTTTCCATAAGTTTTATAACATTAATATCAGGAAAGAAAGCCAGAGACCAACCCAAGGTTGGTAACAATGATTTATAGAGGGGACAGAGGTTCTATTCAGAAGTGCTGTTACTTGCAGCTTCGAATATTTCACGTATTATACAATGAATGCTATAATGTGCATTCAGTGTCCATTTTCTAAATATTATACAATTATATTATAATATTATACATAGATTAAATGCTTTGCCACACCAATACTGACTGTATGACCGTCAGCTAGAACATCTGAGCAACCGTATTCGGTTGCAGAGTGTGTCTTGGTAAACCACAGTCTCACAGAAAACTGTGTCTAGAAAAGGCCCTACCTTCTCTTCCTGATGTACTCTGTTGGCATTTTCCATCTGAAAGCTGTGCAAGGACTGGATTTTGTCAATCTGCTGTCGTTGTTTCTCTAGCTCTCCTTGGAATTCATTCTTTTTGAGCTCCACAGCACCCCTCTCCGCTGCCGCCCTGCGGACCTTGCCTTCCAGATCCATGATCCGACCCTGAGGAAGAGCAAATTAGTCAAAGCAAAGAGAAACACTTGCCCCTTGCCAGACTCTTCTCCAGTACATTCGAGGAATACCAAATTTTGCAGAACTAACAATGCTAATGTCATCAAAGTATTGTGTCAGCTGGTGATACCTGTCACACACAGAGGCACAAACAGGTAGACACCCTCCCGCCTCAGTTTTACCTAAATTACCAGTACAGCATATTCTGTAGACACTATAAAAATTTCAGTTAAAGATAAGAGAAAAGTAAAGCTGCCGTATTACTTGACCTTAAGGAAACCCAAAATACACCACCCCCCCCCAAAAAAAAACCCAAAACCACCATAAAAAAGATTGCAGTTTACAATCTTTCTAAAGTACAAGGTCAAATCATTTTTCAAATTTAATTCAGACAATTATGATATCACTGCACTTCCCAGTGTTGATCCTAAACTAACTCAGAGGGAAAACTCCTCTCTCAAATGAATACATTCTCCTGGAAGAC